CAGCCTCCGGAAAGCTTCCAGAACTCAGGGAAGCGGCTCCTCACTCCATCTCCTCGCTGGCTGGGATTCTGAAGCAATGGTTGGAACAGTTACCAAGAGTGGAGGAAGGCAGTGAGACAGCAGAGCCAGCCTGGTGCCCGACAGCTGTGGGTCCCTGTCCCACAAGCAGGGGTCAGCCTTGGGATTCCTGGCCTCTGGGCCTCACTTGCAGGAGACAAAAATAAATGTGCTTTTCTCTAAGCCATGGGCCCTGGACTTTCTGTCTCTTACTACTCTCCCAGGCCTAGTGGACATGGGGCCACTTTTGTTCAGGCTCTGGCTCCACACAGGGGATCAGAGGGAGAGAAACTGAGGCAGCCCCTCACCTGAGTTCCTGACAAGTGGCAGCGAGAGACCATCAGAAATGCCCACGGAGAAGGGGACAAGTGTGACTTGTGCCATAAAGGCAGTGACACCAGGACTTGGCTTCATCAAACACAGCAGATTCCATGAGAAGATACACCCGGAGCCAAGGGAAACCTGAATAAACTCTCTTGTTTTGCTTGCTTTTCGTTGTCTTTCAGTTGCTTTGAGTTGTCTCTGAAAATCACTAATTGTGGAGGTCACGAAGCTGAGCGACACATTTCTCGTCTCTTCATAGGAGACGACACCTCTGCTGTGTGTGTTGTGAGGACCGGCACTGCCTGGGCTGCCTGTCAGGGGCCTTCCGCCACTTCTGCTGAAGCTGCTGACCTTTCACTGGGGCCTGCACAGGCGTCCCAAGCGTAGGTGACCTTTTGACGTGAGAAGGCCCCAAATTCCACCCTGAGATCACGTTAGCCCCACTGTGGGTGTCTGAACATGTGTCCCATTACCTTTCCCAGGCTTTAGATCACCCTGCTTCTTTATCCCATAAATGTCCCCAAACCCAGGGAAGGGGGATTTGAGAGTCGGGCATCCAAGCTGGGCCACCAGCACATTTTGGCTGCCTTGAGAATAATCTCTTCTCTTTTGCAAAACTTTCTGTTTTTTGTAATTGGCATTGGTGTGGCAGGCAAAGCGGGTCCGACTCGGGAACAGTCTCAGGGTGGGAGGGAAGGATGCAGAGGGGAGGGTGACCCTTTCTGAGGAAGGACTGCCCCGCAGCAGGAGACAATGGGACAAAGGAGCCCTTGGGAGCTCAGGGAAGCTGTGCAGAGGGGCCAGGGGCCAGGTGAAGCAGGGCAGGACACAGAGTGCTTGCCTGGCAGTCAAGCCCTGGCCCACCCCCAGCACTACCAACCTCAAATCCAAGTGACACTGACAGCAGTGTGTGTGCAGTGCTGGGCATGCAGCCTGGACCTTAACGCCAAGTATTTCCTCCATGGTTCCTGTCGTTCTTGTTAACAAGATGCATTTTGGCTGTTACAACCACAGTTACCCTGACAGAAAAGCTAAAACAAAAGACGGACAACATCTAGTGTTGAGGAAGACGTAGGGCAGTTGGAACCCTCTGCCACCACCAGTGGCTGGAGCAGAAACTGTCACTGACATTGGAAGATGGAACAGAATGGCCCAGCTCTGCCACACCCAGTGGATCTCACGCGTGCGTGTGTGTTAAGCAGACAGCCGCTCTCCGCTGTGCACTGAGGTGTGGTGCTGACCACGGGAGCTGGGCTCGGGCACCCATGGAGCAGAGTAGGGAGGGGACGTGGCTCTGGGGGACAGTGGAGCAGTGCAGAGCAGGGGTGGGCAGGAGCTGGGCACACGGGTACAGAGAGAGGAGGACTCTGGGGGTTGAACTCAGGCCCTTCACACACAGCTACATCCTCAGCCCATTTTGAGACAAGGTCTTTCCTGCTATGCTGCCCAGCTGGGTTCAAACTTTCAACCCTCCTGCCTCGGCCTCCCAGAGTGTTCTATCTTTGATGACATTTTTTGTTTATTTCAGTGCTAGGGATGGACCCCAGGGCCTTGCACATGTCAGGTAAGTGTTCAACCACCTAGCTACATCTCCAGCCCTTTTTATTTTATTTTCAGCTAGGATTTCACTAAGTTGCCCAAACCGGCTTCAGATTTTCGATCCTCTTGCCTCTATCTCCTGAATAGCTAGGATTATGGACAAGGGCCACCACAACCAGGGTGACCTCCCCCTTTTAAGAACAGGTGAGAAATACAGTACAGTGTCTCTCGATTGGAGCTCGTTTCATGACGAGACAGGGCTTAGGGATGGGGTTGGAAGAGGTGTAATCCTCTCAGTGGAGAAAAGCCCTTGGCCAGACTTTGGTCCCCGGGTTCGTGTCCACCCTCAGGCTTCTTTCCTAAGTGACTCTGGGTCGTGGCCTATTGTGACTGATTATTAATTACAGCGACTCTCAGTGCGCAACTCTGCAGAGCTCAAGACAAGCACTGCTGCCAGCAGCCTTGGACGGGTCGATGCTACGCCTGTCCCACAGGTGAGAGGTGGGCTGCTCGAGGCAGGCTCGCTCAGCCGCACTGCTGGGAAGTGAGAAGACAGGTTTAACCCAGACCTGGCCCAGCTCATGCCACGTTTCTCTGTTATACAGCTGCCCACTGCTCATTAATCCATGGCCACTAGACCTGGAGGAGGACACCGAGGCTATGCAGGAGATCCTGGGTCTCCACGAGCAGCCCAGCCCCGCGTTACTCACGGAACCCAGCCCAAAGCCCAGCTGCCCTGGCCGTTCCCCTTTACCTGTCAATGGGCTCTCCGGTGAAGAGGCCATCGCCTTCTGCCTGCTCCGGCCACTGCCTGTCACTGGGTGGCTGTCACCTGCCCATGGGCCATGCCCTCTCCCTGTGGACACAGCAGTCACCTTTCACATGTGAATCGGATTCCCCTTCCATAGACTCACAAGTGCTACAGATTTCCATTCCCAAGTCCCCCAGAACACACACGCACGCATGCACACACACACACACACACACACACACACACACCTGCTCTCCTGGAGTGTGTACTTTCAAACTTTTGCCTATAAATCCCTTTCTGCCTCCTGTCCCAAAAATGTGTTTTCTGTGATGGAAGTCAGTGAGTGGCAGCTTGTCCGGTGGTGGAGTGAGCCAGGCTCCGCCTCTCCGCCACGGGGACTCCCTCGGACCCTGCCTGGGGACACCTCACCCCATCCCACGCAGCGCCCTCCCCACCCACCATCCCCACCACCCTCTACATTCCATCTCATGGTGGGTCAAGCTGGGTGCTCCTCAAAGTCCAGTGTTGACATCCTGACCTGCAGGGCCTCAGGAGACAGGGCTGCTGCAGATGTAATTAGGTCAGATGAGCTCCTTTGAGGGGGTCTGAGGACTGCTGTCCTAACAAAAGGGGAAAGCTTGGACGCAGGACCTTCACAGAGGGAAGATGCCTAGAGAGCAGAGCGAGGACTCTGAGCGCGGCCGTGAGCAGGCCAGGGCTGACCCTCTGCTCCCTGCCCCAGGATGCTTCGCAGACTCCCGAACCAGCCGAGGCAGCAGTGCAGGGTAAAGAACTGCCGGGGCCAAGGGGCGGGCCACTCTGGCAATAGAATGCACACCTGGCACGCTTCCATTCAAATGCCCTTACTGTGCTGGGCTCAAGGCAGCAAGGGTAACAGGCAGGAGCAGCAGCCCTGAGCGGCAGGCACGTCCACACATGAAGGAAGCGGGGCAACAACCAGGCGCTCGTCAACTCTGCCCTTCTGCTCTTTCTGCTCCTCCAAAGCCTGGGCTCAGGCCGCTTCGTCCCACTGCCAAGCTCCCAGGAGCCCAGCCAGTCCCCACCCAGCGCTGAGGGTGACTTGCAAAGGCAGCGCCTTCTCTGTCCTCCCTCTCCCATCCCCATCCTGCCTGCCCAGCCTGTCACCCTCCTGGAGTCCTCTCCTCTCTGGGACACCAGATGTGGCCAGCTCCTCTTCAAACTACAGAAAAGTTACAAAAATGATAAGTCATTACCTTTATATCTTTCTTTTTTCTTTTTTTTAAAACATGGATCCATTTATGAAATAGGATAGGAACAATACAAACATTACAGAGTTATGGATAGAGTAGTAGGAAAATATCAATGACTGCTGTAATACATGGTGGTATCTTCAAAGTGGTTTCTCAGGAAGAGATACACAAGAAGGATCTAACAAGTAGTTACAGCCTAAGGGTTGTCAAAAATCAAGTGAGCCATCTGGGGCCAAAGCCATTTTTTGTAGCATTTTCTCTCCAGCCTCCCATCGCATTGGGACCCCACAACCAGTTAGTGTCCTCTCCCCAACTGTCAGCACAGGCAGCAGGAATCCTGCTGCAGACTTCCCTGGGGCTCCACCACAGCCTGTACTGTCAGGGGAAGAATGGCTTCCAATGAGTCTCTGCAGGTATTGTGCAAGGTCCTCCTGGTTTACAGCTTCTGAGCGGCTCTCATGACCCCAGTCCACAGGATCTCTGACCCCTCGGGCTTAGTCTGCATTCTCATGTTCTCTGAGTCCTTGTTCAGCAGCTGCTCCTCCACTGGCTCTGGACCTTTCTGGTCCTCAATGGCAGGAGCAAGAGTGTCCCGTTGTATGGCATGTATTCCCAGGGATTTTTCCATGTTTGAATGATTCACACACGTCTGTGGGTGGGCATCTGCAGTCGGTGCATGGTGGGCCAATTGTGTCATTGTTTCTCTGTGTCATGATAGTTCTCAATTGAGCGGCAGCGGCCGGCCTGAAGGCCAGAGCGCCACAGCGCTCTCGGCCGCATGGCTCCCCGTGCGCCGGGGGCCCTCCCTCCTTGGGCCTACGAGGCAGGGCTATATCTTTCATCTGAAGTCATCCACTAGCACACTTCCCAGTGTGACCTGCTGAGGCCCTGGAGAGGAGCCCTTAAATACTGCAGCTGCATCACCTAAGAACAGGACAAGACTACAGTTTAAATATGAATGGGGAGTTTTATGATATAAGACGCAATCTATATTTAAATCTCATTGCTGGGTATGGTAGTGCATACCTGTAATCCCAGCACTTGGGAAGCTGAGGCAGGAGGATTACCATGAGTTTGAGGCCAGCCTGGGCTACAGAGTGAGTTCACAGCCAGCCTGCACTGCATAGCAAGACCCTGTCTCAAAAAGACAAAATAAATAAATTTCATCAATTGCCCTAATAATGCCCTTTCTACTTTTCCCCCCCATGGACCCCAGAGCTGACCTGGGATCATAGATTGTGCGGAGCTGCTCGGTGCTGCTTCCATCCAGTGGCATCTGCCCTCAGCAGAGCTGGCCCCAACTTTGGTCACCACTGTCCTCTGCAGCGGGGCCTCCCTGCCCTGGGCTTACCAGGGGCTCGAGAGGCATCACCTTCAGCCCCGCTCTGGCACACTCTCCTGCATTTCCATGTCGCCAGCCCCTCAAGCAGGGCTCCCCATTCACTCGCTTCCAGTGGTGCCAGACCAGTGTCCAGGGAGCAGCCCTGGGAGACAGAGGCACCAGACCTGGCCCTGGCTGCCTGGCTGTGGCTCTCTGTGTGGACCCCTGTTCTGCAGTGCTGCCCGGAGCACCGGCCTGCTGCTACTCTTGAATGCCTGGCTCCCGTCTGCCTGGAAGGGAGAGAGGGGACTCAAAACTAGGAAGGATCATGGCACAGCCACCCTTGTGCTCGGTGTGCACCGTCGGACCCCGGCCTGGATGGAGCGAGGGGCCTCGGCTTCATTAGGCACAGCTCGACAGGAGCCAGACTGCTGGCAGCGCTTTCAGGGTGGAAGGTGGGATCCAAGGGCCTGTGAGACTCAGCCCACCACCGCTTCCAGACACTTCTTGGACACAGTGATTGTAGCATGAGCTGGGGGACAGCTTGAGGACACCCTCGCGTCCCCCAGGGGAACTGACCTGGGACCTACCAGCCCCAGGCCCTCAAGACCTCTGCCAGGGCTTTGTGCTCTCGAAGTAGGCAGGGCCAGCTGGCCCTAGATCACACATCTGATACCACAGGCCTAGGCAACTTCTGGATCCAGTTTAGCTGTGGAGAATGGAAAGCCAGGCCCAGCTGCCGGCCAGCACCCAGGGGAAGGGCCAAGTGGCCAGCTCCTTTCCCACAGTGACAGAGCTCCCAGGGCCCTGTCCTGGCCACCCAGGCTCTTGTCCCCTGCTCTCCTGGGACGGGCAGTGGGCACAGCCAGCCTCCTGCACACTTGCCCCCTGCCAGCCTCTCAGGCTCCTGGGACATCCGAGTGGTTATTACCCTGACACCACGGAAGGCAGCCGGAAGGCTTTCTGCTCACATGGGCTTTGGGCTCCAGGGCAGCATCTCCATCTATGGCAGTGAGTGGTGGCGTAACAGGTGACATCTCTCTGCTCCTCCAAAGCCTGGGCTCAGGCCGCTTGGTCCTGCTGCCAAGCTCCTAGGAGCTCAGCCAGTCCCCACCCAGCGCTGAGGGTGACTTGGAAAGGCAGTGCTTTCTCTGTCCTCCCTGTCCCACCCCCGGCCTTCCTGCCCAGCCTGTCACCCTCCTGGAGTCCTCTCTCCTCTCTGGGACACCAGACGTGGTCAGCTCCTCTTTAAACTACAGAAAAGTTGTAAAAATAATAAGTCATTACCTTTGTCATTTGTATCCAGAGCTTTTCAAACACACTTACTGTTTAACCCGGGCTTACCACGTGAGCTTTGTGTGGCGCCGAGCCCTGGGTACAGCAACCCCCCCAAAACTGGTCAGAAGGGCAAGTTGCACAATGGTGTGGAGTGACGCCAGCGACACATCTGCCTAGGGTGAGAAGGACTTCTGTGTTTGTCCTCCTCTTCTTGTCTTTTGTTTTTACTGTTTTGTTTTGACTTTGGGTGGACAGATGTAGAGAAAGCATTGTTCTTACCTCTGACCTTCACCTCCTGGTTTTGGTCACCCAGGGCTAGAGCGAAGGCAGAAGGATTCCGTTCTGAGGCTCCTGGAGCGGCTGGGAAGCAGAGCGTGTTTTTCATAGGCGGCACAGAGGTAGCAGGAGATGCGCTTGTCACTGTCTCCAGCCAACCCGCCGCCCGGTTCCAGCAGGGACACTGCGCTCCTCATTCTGGAGGCTGGGGTGAGACTCGAGCTAAAACCCTCCTGATGCGCAGCTGCGGGGCCTGCATTGAGACGGCCACAGCCCCTTGGGTCCCTCAGGCCTCAGGTGCAAAGTGCGCATGCTGGCTGGAAGCAGTGTGCCGCTCAGCAAGCAGCCAGAGGCGGGCACCAAACTCCAGTGAGGCCCAGCCGGACGAGGGCCCCTTGCTCTCAGCAGGAGAGCAGGCGCTGATGGCTTTGGCCAGGGTCCCACATCCTGCCCATCTCCTGCAACCCCAGGGGTGTCAAAAAGCTCCTGTGGCCGGGCCGCAGGCAGTGGAGCAATGAGGTCAGAACACTTGAACAAAGGATAGTGTGAGGTTGTTGCAAAATGCAGACTGCATGAGGTAAGACCTTTGTGGATCTGATTTCCCTGACAGAGTCTTTGCCAGGCTCAGAAGTCAGAGGTTTTGCAAGAAGCAGTTTGTGCAAAATAATAGGACATTTAAGAAAAACTTTATTTTTGGACTTGTCAAACACCAGAAATAAGATAAAAGGCTAAATGTATTCTAAACCTATCTGTTCTGTATTGTGTGTATGGCTCTAGTGGGAATTGCAGGGAGCCCAAGCGGGGGAAGTGAGGAAGGGAGACACACAGATTCCCCCACCTGAAGTCCAGCTCATCCTCAGCCACTGAATGCTGTTTGTTTATTTGTTTTTTTGAGATATGGTCTCACTATGCAGTCCATGTGGCCTGGCCTTTTCGTGTGTGTGTGTGTGTGTGTGTGTGTGTGTGTGTGTGTGTGTGTGTGTGCTGGGAATCAAACTCAGAGCCTTGTGCTTGCCAGGCAGGCACTGTGCCGCTGAGCTACATCCCTGATCCCTGAGCTACATTCCCGGCCCCAGCTGGCCTTGAACTTGCTTATGTAGCCCAGGCTGGCCTTGAACTTGTGGTGATCCTCCTGCGTCAGCCTCCTGAGTACTGGGATTACAGGTTTGTGCCGTCACACTTGGCTACTGCTTTGCTTTGGAATTTAGAGCTGGATTGATGTGACAGGTTATTTCTGCTTAACCTGCTTGTGGTAGATCGACAACTGGTCA